CTAACCTTGGAAAAAATCCAAATGGTCACAACTCAGAAATGGATAAGAAAAATGTGGTGGTTTTATACAATGGAGTCTCCTCAGCTGTAAAGGATGAATTTGAGAAATGTTTAGGTCAATGAATGCACCTAGAGATCACACTCATAAGTGAAATAAAACAAAATCACATGTGTAAAGATCATTTTCTCTCCCTGGTGTGAGAAACTGAAAGCGTAAAGAAGGCTGAAAATATACAAAATATATTGTAAACTGGGAAGAAATTGTACAAAACAAGAACTAGGATGAGGGAAACGGAAAAGGAAGGAAGGGAAAAAGAAAAGCAAAATGTGAAAGAATTCAACTATGACTTCTCCATTTTGAGACTTTTTTATGCCCCAATCCTATACTTTCAGCATCTAGTTTACAGAAAACGCTATGCCGTGTATTAACAATTGCTATTCTCTTATGATTTTGTTTGGACCTTTTGTTTCACATTTTTTTTCATAAAATAAAAAAATACATATAAGATCAATATTCTCACTTGTTTTCTATTTCTTAATTTTCCTTTTATTGATTTGTTTTCCTATCAGCTGATGTGAGGGAAGGGGAAATTTGGGACACCTTGGCACGGCCTGGAGAGACTTCTGACTGCCTTTCCTGCTATTCCAGCAACCTCCCAGGCCACAAAGATCCTGCAACAAGTGCCGTGGAGCAGAGGATTCCACCACACCAGGGTCACATGCTATATGGGAATCACCCTAAAGAGTTTGGACTCAGAAACGGTGAGAAGTTTCCAATAAATATTCAATAGAGCCCAGAATCTTCTGTCTGTCAAACACGAGATCTGTCATATTTCTAAGCTACTACCTTAGCACAGGAAGAACTGAAAAGCCCAAGGAACATGAGCTTGCTGCTCCTCTCTAGGATCTACCCTCTTAGAGGCGCATGCTCGGAAAGAGGAGGCAGTGGCTCTGACTGTGGAGCTGACACTGCACCCTGCGATCCTGAGTCCCTGACACATAGGCTGGAGGAGGATAGGATGGGCTCAGAGGGGCCTAGAGCCCTGTCCTGACACCTGAGACTCTCACAGCTCCAGCCAGGCCTGACAAGCATTGAAAATCATGTCACTGCAGTGAGATGGCAACAGGTCAATGTCCACTGCATGGGGACTCCACAGCTGGTTCTTACTCTCAGAACTACTGAGTCCTTTGTGCACCGCTAACACAGTCCTGTCTGGGCCCAGACACATCTGTACTTGGGTCTAGGACACCTGCTCTGTCCTGAACTCTGTTAAGCTGTCCAGTCCACTCCTTCCTGCTCTTTCTGCTTCTGCTCCCCAGTAGGGAGCCATCTTCAGGAACCTCTAGAAACCCAGTTCCACAGGCCTTGGTTGTCTCAATACTGTCCTTTCAGTTTGCAAAAGATTCTTAGCTCCATAGCCTATTATATTCATGCGTCCTTTCTCTGCTGTTTGTCCCTCTTCTCAAGATGTTGGGACACTGAAAGCCACCCTCTCTCTGCACCTCCAGTTTTTGGATGTACTTTGGCTGGTGGTTCTTCTAGAAACAGGGTGGCAGAAAGAAGATCTGAAGACTGGAGGTCCAGCAAGTGTCACCTGCATCAAAGACAAATGCATCTGTAGTGCAGGGTGGAGCCCAGGGGACAACAGAGCTGCTCGCTGGGGAAGGGATGTTGGGCAAAGCCAGGAGCAGCCAACTTTGACTGGCCCTGCTGGCACAGGAGGTCCGGGGGTCTGTACCCACAGAGCAGGGAAGCACAGCCTCCTGAGCCCAGGGGTAACTACCGATCCCCAGAAGAGGAGGCACCTGGAGGGTTTGACATACAGGAACATGGTTTCCTGTTTTCTGTCCTTTACCTGGTCATTGCGCTCAGAGGCTGTAGCATGTGCACCAATGCTGGTCCAGGGAGCTTATAACAGAGGACACTGTATGAATCCTTAGGTTGGCTGCTCTTTCTCTGTATCATGCTCTTCCTGGAGAAACCTTTACTGCTGCACTACAGTACGTGATCCACTTGATTTAACACTTGCTGGGTGAACTTGGACAAACTATTAACCACACAGCATCTACGTTTCACCACCTGTAACCCCTGTTGTTTTCCTCACAAGACAGTACATTCAGCTGCACGAATGACATAGGGAAATGAGGGCCCACAGCAGTGAGGCACACCCTGGGCTGGGACATGCACCGCTGAGAGCAACAGCTGGAGAGAATGCTCAGCTAATATAACATCCACCACAGGGTCCCCAGAGCAGAGGACACTGTCCCTTCTCTGAACCATACTCAGGGTGCCTCTTCCATCTACCTGTTATACCAAGCAACACAGTCTCAGATAGGGCTTGACTCTAAAGAATGTAAGTCACCTAGGAGGGAGGGACATGGATCACATATTCCCAGAAGCACTAACACTATCCCTATTGACAGAGACTACTCATTGCCAGAATCCAGCAACTACCAAGAGATAAATGGAGGTGGCCCTGATTATAGGAAAAGGAAAATAAAGGTGACCACAGAACTGGAAGGGTAGGATGTCTGCAGAAAAAGCTGCACAGAGAACTCCCAGGCACTTTTACAGGGGCCAGTTTACAGCTCTGTTTCCTGGACTGTCCTTGTACTCAGGCATATACAGCTGGTCACACTGTGGGACACACCACCCTGAGCCCTAGCTTTTCTGTTGGTGGGTGGCTGTAAAGCTCCACATCCCCATATAGTTTAGGCCTTAGGGTGTGAGACTTACATGCACTCAGAATGCACTCCCAGCTCTGCTAGGAACAAGGACATGCATGGGCCTCAATCTGGAATTGCTTATAGACTTATAGTACTCCTCAGCAGGAGGAAACCTCTCTCTAGTTTTACCAGGCTCCGCTGGACACCTACAGGAGGTTCGGAGCCTGTCTAATGCTAATAGCCGCACAGTTCTGCAGGGAAGAGTCCTCCGAGGCCTCTGAAAGGGCCTCACAGTTTGAGAGTAAAAGCACCAGAACCCACAGAGACAACTTCTTCTTTGGGCGTCCACTCCTCACACAGCACCACCACAGTGTAGGAGCTGCTCCATGGCAATGATGCTGCCTCAGACCACAATAGCACAGGGCAGGAAGTCGTTGAGGGAAATAGTGGCTTCCCCGGAACTGGAGACACTAACGGATCTCCCACTGACCACAAAGTCACAAAGACTCGATATTCTCCTTGAAGATGCAGAGGATATGAGCCTCCTTACCCTCTGGATAGGGTGCTGGGCTTGCCAAATCTTCTGGCTAAGCTCATACATTTCTAAGAAAGCTGCAAATGACCCCATTCAGCGATATTTTCCTGAGACCAGCCTTTACAAACTGGATCCCAATGGACTTTCCTCCCTAATTCAAGGAAACCACACTGCCCAGTTCAGATTGTTAAACAGCCTTACTAATTTTGCAAAGAGAGAGAGAGAGAGAGAGAGAGAGAGAGAGAGAGAGAGACCCATGTGTTACAAAACTGATTTGGGAAGTTCTAAAATTTCCCAATATTGCTGTTCTCCTCTGCTGTCTTGGACACTGCAAATGCCTTAAGGTGTGCTCTTTGTGCCAAGACGCATCCCTTTTCTGAAATCTGATGTCACAACTACAGGGCCTTCACATCTACACCCACCAATTGTTCTTCCTTTGATTCTCCCGTTTCCCAGGTACCTGCAGCAACCCCTCAAGCCTTACAACCCATATCCCTCCATTGACCCCCAGCTTCCCAATATGGCCCTGAACTGTCCATAGTTGAGCAAAATTCATCTCTTACACTGCTGAGCAGTTTAAGCTTCCAGTAGTCATGGCTCCAGGGAAATACCCTACTTACCTGTTTGAACACCACAGCCAAGAGTTGATAAACTTGTCCCTTCTTCAATCTAAGAGAAGATGATCCATCTCTCATGTCACTGCTGTCAGTCCTTCAAAGGTAACACAGTAACCTTTCAAAAAGTTTTAGTGGTCTATGGACACTGCCCTGCAGAGAAATCAGAAGTCATGACCATCCTAACAGTGATACTGATCTAAGGGCCAGCACATTGATATCACTTCAGCAACGTTTCTCAGAGGAGCTATATTCACTTCCCCTCTCCACAAAAGTGGTGTCATTCATCTAAGCTGAAGGATGAGGATGGTGGGGAAGGACACAACATGTTGGTTTGCCTATGTACAGGTGCATTAGAACTCCATAACCTATAAACTCAAAGGGTCAATGTGAAATACATACTCAAAAAACCCGGGTACAGTGTCCATGTTGGTCATTCTAGGTGGATCTCAGCTCACAAGCATGACTGCAGTGAGTTAGGTAGAGTCCTGGGCACACATCACTAGGAGAGACATGATAAGGTCATGTTTTCCACATCCTGAGCAATCTAAAGGAGAGACATCCAGGAGATGCTCTTTCCCTGTCACACTGCTTAGGTTTGCTGGGCATACATGATGCCAGACAATACCACAACTTGCACCTATCCTCTGGCAAGCCCTGAAGATCTGTGCTCCATTCTGGGAGTCACATGGTGCCTATTTATTATTCTCTCTGGGGGTCTCCAGCGCATCTGCCCACCTCCCTTCTATAGGAGAAGGTGGTCCAGACTCTCATCTGGGCTTTGAAATTCCCACTCTGCTCAGCAGATACTATATGCTCTCATGGTTGGACCCAAGAATTAACGCTTCTGTAGAGACCTGGATCCACTACCAACTCTGAAGGTCCATTGGGATTTGTGTGAACTGTTACATGCAGGCAAGTGTTTCTGAATGAATTTTTATGGTTCAAGGCTACATTTACTCAGCAACTTCCAGAGTTCTCAGTACCAAAGGCTGAACTTCATGGAAGGGAGGAAGACACAACCGTGGATACCTCGCAAAGACAGGAAGTCCTCCTGGGGTGGCATCTCACAGGCTAGATCCAAACAATATTTCCCAAGCACGCTTACACCACTGTGGCTTGAACTATGCAATAGAAAATAAGTCAAGAACCTCCCCCTACATTATGACATCCCTCCAAGTATCCCTTAAATATCACACGTCTTTCCTGCCATACTGTGGTTCCTGTTGCCTCTTGAGACCAGGGACAAAAGACTGTTGTGATTCCACCTCTGCCTGCCCAGCTTCAGTCCAGAAAGGTAAGTACTGCAAACAGCTGTGCATTCCCTCTGTGCTTGTGTTCTGGAAGCCAACTGCTGCACGGAGCCCATATGCGTGGCTCTTCTGGTGGGACTCTTTGACTGGTGATGAGAGTCACCCTCTGCTAAGGTCATGAGAAATGTGAAGGTTCTCATCAAAGCAAAGGTATCCTATACTTTCAACTTAATAGAATCCACACTGGCTTCTTAAAATTTTGTCATTTTTGCAAAGTCTATTCATGGCTTTTAATCAATGTGCCTTTTGATTGCCACTGAATTGTGTTAGTTTCTCACTTACCCTGGATATCATTCAAAAACTGACCATTTCTTGATTTTTCTTTTCAGTCTGTTGCATGTTCTGCACTACTAACATTTTCTATTCTGATGGGACCCCCCTTGTCTGCTTTGTTTAGTGGCTTGGACAACGGTTTCCTATGCAACAAATCACTGCTAAGATCCATGTCCCCAATATCTTCTCTTTTTTTTCCTTTAAGAATTTAACATAGATTTTTAGGGCACTAAAACATTTGCATTCAGCTCCAGCTCCAGTTGCATACATGCACCAAATCATCAGCCTGTGCACTGCACATATACATAGTAAAACTGTCATTCATATTTTGGAAAAGATGGAAAGCATAAGCAATGCAATGTATTAGACCAAGTCTCTGCCTACTGTAAGGCTGAGCGAGTCTTGCCCATCACCAGATAAAGTTGTAGAGGTTCCACACTGGATGATGAAGCAATCCACCAAATCATTAGCCCCAAAACTGTCTTCCTGTGAGTGCAAAAACCCAACCCTGAAAAGAGATAAATAGGCATTAGGACACAGAGCTGATCAAGGGAATACGTCAGCCCAGTAGCACGGTTCGTAGTAGAATGGATTCATTGACACCATAAACACAATGAATGAAAGGAAAATTTTCTTTTAGATTTTCATCTGAAAAGTTAGTATTCAAAGAAACGGAGAATGAGTAATATACAACCACAACTCAGGCATCATTATCACTATGAACCTGCACTGAGAGAGATTGAGAAGGCACAGGCAAGGCCTTGTGGAAGTCGTGAGACCATGGAACATCTCAGGGACACTGGAGCCATAGCTGGTCTCACTGAGACCATCACACTTGCCCTCACTCTGCCCTCTGAGTCAGCCTCATCCCCACAGGACAGTAAATAGGGCTGGCTTCTCCTCTCTATCCTCCTCTCCCACCATCCAGGTGACTCCCAGCCATGAGGACCGTCCCTCTCTTTGCTGCCTGTCTTCTGCTGACCCTGATGGCCCAGGCTGAGCCTCTCCCAAGAGCAGCTGACCACTCTGACACTAAGATGAAAGGAGACAGAGAAGACCATGTTGCTGTCATTTCTTTTTGGGAGGAAGAAAGCACCAGTCTTCAAGATGCAGGTGAGAGAAGTCTGCGGCACAGACTCTGAGTTCAAGGAGAAGGTTGGGAGATGGGCTACATAATTGGGTTTCCATTTCAATAACTGTTTAAGTGTCTTTAGTTGGATTTTCCATTAAGAGCTCAATGAGTCGACAATAAGCTCTTCAAGAAAGAGTTGATTCCAGGGCACTCTTGTCAAGATCACTAGGGTCAGCATACTAAGAGACCTGCCCACTAGCTCTATCCAGATCTGAATGTGGACTTAGGCATAGAGAGAATATTTCCTTGTGCCTATTCAGAGGATCTGTAGTAACTGAACTTGAGTGTGGGGATTTGTTCACATCAATATGCTGTAGGGGAGGAGTAGGAGCAAGTGAAGACTCACGAGATGGGTGTGACATCTCGGATCTCATTACCCAGGTAGAATCCTGTGTTCTTATCTCTGTGTCTGTGGCTCTTCATTCAGTTCTCCGTGGTACATTGAGCTATGGATGCCACACGAAAAGGCAGCTAGCTGCTCAGGATGTGCATTCCATCTGGGCTACCCAGGACTTCAGCCTTGCTGCTCTCTCTGTCCCCAGGTGCAGGTGCAGGCCGGCGCTGTATTTGCACAACAAGAACCTGCCGTTTTCCATATCGCAGGCTGGGAACCTGCCTCTTCCAGAATCGAGTCTACACATTCTGCTGCTAAGCTTCCAGAATAAAAAACAATTCTATTTTGCTTTGAGGCCTCTAAGAGAATTGCTGCTTTCCTGTAGCTATGTCTTCCATTGTTTTCTTTCTGTTAAATAAATTGCTGTGGAATTGCTTTGTGTTGTTTTCTTTGAATTTTCCTGTTGATATTTCTGAGGTGTCACATCTAAAACTAACACAACATTAAATGACACGCTTGGCCCCAAATACTAATATGTTGAAAAATGACCACGGAATGCGGGATCCAAGAGAGAAATAGAGCTAAAGCAAGGCTGCACATCGCTGGAGGAGTAACTCTACCTTTTCACACTTCCTCCATTTGACTGACTCTCAAAGTCATTCCCAATGCCACAGACAAAACAATCAGCTTAGCTAAAATTTATACAATGTAATATTTTAACATGTTAAAATAAACATTTTTTTCTAAGGCGGAGATGTTTTCCTGAACAGAGCAAAGCCACACACCTCCCATTTAACCTTGAGTTGTGTCCCCTGTGTAGTAACAACCTAAAGTTAAAATAGAAATATTTTATCAAACAGTGTAATGAGTGGAAGAACAGAAGATAACTTCACTGAGTTACACTCATCAGCAATAGGTTCTATTCACATCTGTTAATGCTGAGTTTTATACCCATAATATTTGTTTTCAAAGTTAAGAAATGCAGATGCATAATTCCTCAATCACACTTCACCTGTGCCCTCTTGGTTTTTCATAATCTCCTGAATCACTGATACCAGATGCAAAATACAGCTTCAAATAAGTTCCCGAGCAGAAAAGAAGGTATTAAAGTCTGTGATCCCAGATATCCAGGCTTTCTGTCAGAACTCAGGGTGGTAAAATTCTCATACTCAGGATATGGGCTGGCTCAGAGACTGGAGGTAGGGATCTGTGGCTCAGGAAATGAAAACTTTTTACTTCAAGCCAGAGAGGACAGAGGAATTCTGTGGCTCCAGCACACACACACACACACACACACACACACACACACACACACACACAGAGCAGCATTTCCTCCTTGGGTACAGGATGAAGGTCTCAGACCAGGATTCAGGCTGGAAAGTCCATGCTGTTGCTCAAGGTTCCTGTGAAGACCACTGACATGCTTTTGTGTGCTCCATGTAATTTTCCAGATTCCCAACTGTAGCATCCACCTTTAACCCAAATACATCTAGTACTCTCTCTGGAACTATGGTCTCTCCTCAAATGTCACTTAATCAATGAGCAGTCTCCTGGTTTCCATAATTTAAATTGTACCACATTTGCCATGTGGGTCTTTATCCAACATTTTTTAGTTTGTTTCTCAGTACAGAATGATAACAATCCCTCCTATTCACATTTTATACAGGATTTCTACAACAAATCTTCCTGTAGTTAGAATGAAAGCTCCATGATTTGCTCATTATTATACTACTGCTTCCACAGTTCCTTAATATAGGAATTCCTAATATAGCAATACAGTAGTTGGTCATGCAAAAGTTATTTTGATTAAGTTAATTCATTTATTTTAGCTCTACTTATCTGTATGAATTTCCTAAAATAGTAAAGTACAGACATAAGCAGATCTCTAGGCAGTTTTATGACAGTCTATGTTTTAAGAACTAACTAATACTCTATAGACCTAAATATAAGATAATATACAAATATTAATGAAAATCTGATAGTAGCATGATAGATTTTATTGTGAGTCTTACTCAGTAACACCACAGATAATGACATAGTGACAACCTGGATACAGCAGGACCAAGGAAAGAGCAACCCTGTAGATAGAAGTAGAGATGTAACCACAGGCAAAATGTAGCTCACATCTATCAGGGTTGAAGAAGAGATAATGGGAGGTAGCAGGGTGAAAGAGCTTTCCCACCAGACAACTCAGGACACTCTGCTCACCTGTGGGATAAGGAACACCAGGAAAAGCTCACCCAGTGGCAGCTGTGACATCTGATTTACGCTATGGAACATGGTAACTCTAGGGAGAAATATAATAAAAAGATGCAAAACAATCTCCAAAAACAGATTACAACCTGAAAGTCTCCAGTGAACTCCCATAATCAGAAAGGCATGGAAACAATTTATATATTCTAAACACCAACAACACTTTCAACTATTTAGTCAAAATGAGTTATGATGCGAAAGACAAGGAACTAAATAGGAAGATAGGTACGGAGCCAGACTTAGGAAATGTAATTGACTTAGTCTCCAACAGATGACAGAAGCCTAAGCTCAGGAGGTCCACTTCCCAATCACACATCGACTAACTCTAGTGAGCAGCCTCCCCAGGGACACGCCACTGCACTGCTTCTGGAAGCCACCTCAGTGCTTCCAATGTTCCCTTTGGTTTGGGAACATTGAGTGGAACATTCAACTGCAGTTGAACTCAACCTGTACCCTGCTGCCTGTGCCCATCCTCCCTGCAGTTGTCTGAATGAGATTCTCCTTTCCACTCTCAAAAATGCCTGGTGAAATTTTGTTTTTAAAATACGATGTATTAGTTTATTTTCTTGGTTTGTGAGTTGAAACAAAGGAATTGTACAACTTCATGTCATCAGCGGTGCAGTACAGGTGTGTGCACACATTGTACAGTGATGATTTGGGATAATTAGAAGATCTATTACCTCAAACACTTATTTTGAATTTGTTGGAGATGATCAGAATCCGAGCTTCCAGCTTGGTTAAAATCTGCAATACAATATTGTGGGCTCTAGTGATACTGCCATTCAATAGGACACCAGAAATCATTCCTCATAACCATAACTCTTTCTGTGTCATGAGCCTTTCTTCAATCTCTGCCCACAACTGCCTCTTTCCTTAGGAACTGATCACTCTACTCCGGAGTTCTAAATGGTTAGATTTCTGAAATATTTACAAGTGCAATTTCATTGTCTTTCTACATTTGATTACCTCACTTCATATAATAGCCTCTGGATTGACCTACAAAGCTGCATTTAAAGACCTTCTTCTTTTTCTACTTGTTCTATTTCATTGTTTGTCTTTTGCATTTTCTGTTTTCCCAAAGGTCAATCAATTAGTGAAAACTTAGGTTGATGGCATTTCCTGGCTATTGAGAACAAAGCTGCAAGAGTCAAGGGAGTAGCAGGATCTCTCTGATATACAGATTTTAAACCCTTTCCTTGTTTTTCACTTCTGTGTCTGGATATCTGAACTCTCCTGACAAGCACTACTTTATCCACAATTTCCGTTTATAGCGGGAAGCTGTGGTTCCCAAACTCTGGTCACAGAAAAGAATGGCTGCCATTGAGAAATCCACAAGTGCCAAATGCTACTGGGGATATGGGGCAGGGGGAAGGAAGCTTTCTCTGCTGTTGAGGGGTGTGCAACTGGTACAGTCACTGTGATAATCAGTATGTAGGTTTCTCAAAGCACTAGGATTAGAGGTTCCATTCAACCCACCTATTCTACCCATGAATATCTTCGGTGAAGAACTTAAAGCATCATGACATAGTGATACATGTGCACAGTCGTTTAAAGCACCAAATTTGTAATACCTACATCTTAGAAACAAACCACTGGTCAAAACCGAATAATGGACTAAAAAATTCAGACATTTTGTTATAATGGAGTCTCCTCAGCTGTAAAGAATAAACTTGAGAATTGTATAGGTCAATGGATTCAACTAGAGATCACACTCTTAAGTGAAATAAATCCAAATCAAATATGTAAAGATCGTGTTCTCTACCTGGTGTGAGAAACTGAAAGAGTACACAAGGCTAAAAAAATATACAAAATGTATTGCAAACTGGGAAGAAATTGTACAAAAGCAGAGAAGAACTAAGATAGAGATAAGGACAAAGGAAGGAACGGAAAGAAAAGCAAAATGTGAGAGAATTCAACTATGAGGTGCTTCTAGTTCATTGAAAGTAAGGTTTGTGCTAAAATAATTTAGAGAATTTTTATGCCCATTTTTTTATTTTGAGTACACACTATAAAGACAATAACATGGCACATATTAATAATTGTCATTCTCCAAACATTTTGTTTAGAATTTTTGTTTTACATGGTTTTTCGTAACATAAAAAAATATGAACGAAATCAATATTCTCACTTTTTTTTTTCATTTTCCTTTTGTTGATTTGTTTGGGCAATGAACTCACAAGACTGAAAAAGGAATCTGAGACACCTTGGTGTGGCCTGGGAGCCCAGTGTCCTGGAAAGGACTGCCTTTCCTGCTGTTCCAGCAACTTCCCAGGCCACAAAGATCCTGAAACAAGTGCCATGCAGGCAGAGTATTACACCACACCAGGGTCACCTGCTACATGCACCACCCTGGAGAGTGTGGACTCAGAAAGACTGAGAAGTTTCCATGAAATACACCAAAGAGCCCAGAATCTTCTGTCTGTCAAACACAGTGAAATCTGTCACATTTCTAACATAGCACAGGAAGAATAGAGAAGCCCACAGAACACATGCTTCCTGCTCCCCTATAGGGTTTGCCTTCTAGAGGCGCCTGCCCAGAGAGGAGGCAGTGGCTCTGACTGTGGAGCTGACACTGCACCCTGCGATCCTGAGTCCCTGACACACAGGCTGGAGGAGGCTAGGATGGGCTCAGAAAAGCCCAGAGCTCTATACCGACACCTGAGATTCTTACTGGCCCAGCCAGGTCTCAGAAGCAGTGAAAATCACACCACTGCAGTGAGACTGTGACAAATCAGTGTCCATTGCCATGGGGACTCCTGGTTTTTCCTCTCTGAACTACTGAGTCCTCCATGCACTGCTAACGCAGTGCTATCTGGGCCCAGCCACATCTGTGCTTGGGGCTTGGACACCTGCTCTGTCCTGATCTCTGTCAAGCTTCCTGGTCCACTCCCTCCGTCTCATCCTGCTACTGCTCCCCACTTAAGGAGCAACCTTCAGGAGCCTCCGGAGCCTCAATGCCACAGGGCTTGGTGGAGGAAAAACAGAAAAACACAAAACAAAACAAAGCAATGTAAGGGTACACGTAATACAGAACTACAAAAATAAAAAAAACATAACAGTAAGAAATCACCTGTTAATAGATTACATATTATCATCTTGGAAATAGTTGCTCAAATCACAGTATCAAAGAATACAAAGTGGACATTCAAACAGAGATACTGCAAACAGCTGTGTTCAATGAT